GCCGGCAGCCTCCCTTCTGCTCTGATGGGCTCAGACTCTCCCAGGGCCCTTTAGCCCTGCAGGGGGCACAAGAGCTCGGGGCTTCTGCCCCACAAGCTGCGCTGGGCCTCGGGGTTCCAGCCACGGGGGATGGGCTGGTGCTTGGGGCTTCTGCCCTGTGGGGGTGCCCTAGGACTGAGGCTGCCCTGCTCCGTATCTTCTCCGGCAGCCTCCCTTCTGCTCTGATGGGCTCAGACTCTCCCAGGGCCCTTTAGCCCTGCAGGGGGCACAAGAGCTCGGGGCTTCTGCCCCACAAGCTGCGCTGGGCCTCGGGGTTCCAGCCACGGGGGATGGGCTGGTGCTTGGGGCTTCTGCCCTGTGGGGGTGCCCTAGGACTGAGGCTGCCCTGCTCCGTATCTTCTCAGAGGTCCACTCTGGACGGCTCTGGCTGAACGTGTCCTGCACCTGGGGCCTTTCCTCCCTGGAATCAGGCTTCCTCTCCAAGCTCTGAAGTGCTCAGCAAGGCCCAGCCCACAGGCCCTAGAGCACCATGGAGTCCAGGCGGGGGAGTCAGCCCACTGGGCTGTCACTCACCTGTGCCGCCGCACAACTGGCCGTTGTGGAGCTCGCAGTTCACGTTGTCGCACTCGCAGTAGGTCCCGTAGATCTGCTTGTGGGGCGTGTCGCTGGTGTGGCAGGTGCATTGCCCACACACACAGTCCCCCAGGCCGGAACAGATCACCGAGGCATTGTCCTTCCGGCAGCTCCCTTCCAGCTCCTTGTTGCTTTTCCCTTTCGTCTCACACTCACAGTTCTTCCCAGTGTAGCCAGTTTTGCACCTGGGGGAGGGGAGAGGGAGGGTGGGCATGTGGAAGGTGGGGTGACTGAAGGTGCCTCCCCCTGCGTGGAGCCCAGGTGCACAGACCAGCCTGGCATCACCGCGAACACCTGTCCAGCCATCAGCTGGCCTTGAGCCTGGAGAGCTGCCGGCTCCCTGGGTGCCAGAGGCTGTGGGGGGTGTCGCTGGGATCGTTTACCTGCAGGTGCCACAAAAGACGTCGCCTTTCCCGTTGCAGGCAGCGGGGTTGGGGCGCTCGTCACACGCACATTTGCACTGGCTGGGGAGGCGCCCCGGGGGCCGGTCTGTGAAGCCCAGGGGCCGGATGACGAAGGACTGGTCTTGGATGCACTCCTTGGCTGTAACTTTCACTTGGAAAGTGATCTGGGAGGAGGCAAAGCAACGGGGCTAGGGGCTGTGTCTGAGAAAGCATCGCGGCGAACGTTCTTGGGCAGCCAGCCCTGAGCTACATTCGCCTCTGGCCGGAAGCGCCCCCTCCAGGACGCAGGTAGCGTCTGGAATCGAGCCCATGAGGCACCTCATGCCTAACTGACCCCAAGTGAAACCTTTGGGTTTGATCAACAAACGGAAATGTTTGGTGCAGCCCCCCCAAGCAGAGGACTTCCTTGCAGTGTCCCCTGCGGAGACTAAAGAACACGCCTTTGTCAAATCAGCACTGCCAATGGGAGAAACGCGGAGTTTGCGGAAACAACATTTCCCATCAGTTTGGCTGGAGAATTCCCAACCAGCTCTGACCAGTGGCATTCGGAAGGCACCTCGTCTTCGCCTGGCACTCGGGGCCAGTCCTGTCAGGGGTTCAGGATTTGCAGGGGGTGTTTCTGTTTTGCCAACATTGGCTGCAGGCAAGTGAAACAGTCCCCGTTTTCTGCCTCTCCCTCCCGATGTGGTAGGTAGTCTCACCCTTGGCGTCACCTGAGCCGGGAAATGGGGGTGGCAAATTGGGTTCCCTGATTTCAAGGCTACTCAGGGACTCAGTACACGGGCTCCTGTGTTCCCTTTGGATTTAGAATGTTAGCACAGCGCCCGCCCCCCACTCCCCATCTTTCTGCAGGAGCCCAAGCTACAGAAAGGACTCCAGCAGGGTTCTCCTACTTTGTTGTTGATCTTGACATCACTGCATTCCCCTCTTGCGCCATCCAGGGTGGGCTTTTTGCCAAGGCAGAAAGAATCGTACGTGATTTTCAAAACATCTGGCAAAGTGCCGTGGTCCAGGATGATTTTGGAGGACAAGCTCTGTGAGGAAAACAAGACAGATGATGCAGGATGATGTCAGCAAGACAGAGGGACCAGACCAGGCAGCTCTGTCAGAACCAGCGCCTCCGTCAGAGACCCTTGAGGATGGCTCTCCTGCCTACTGCTCTTCCTTGGAGTGTGGCTGTAATCTTTTCAGTCCCAGGTCTGGCTGAAGATCTTAGCTCTGGTAAATGCTGTAGAAATGGGCTGGTTGGGGGATCTGAAAGGAAACCACCCGTGAACTGGCTGCATCAGCTGGTGGGCTGAGAATAACAATTGCTTCCAAGCTCACGGAGTTGCCTAGAGTCGAGGGGCTGGATTGTGGTGTTTATCTTTGGATTGTTACTGGACCACTTCTGACGCATGCGCCTTACTCCTTATAGTCACTCAGTCTAGTTCTTTCTAGGCAGTGAACTTGCTTCAGTGTTTTATCTCAGCCAGCGGGTTTGACTGAAGTGCTGGGGGAAATCTCAGCTTAGGTCAAGGAGGCTGGCATGTTCAGTGCCCGTCGGTGGAACGGTGAGCGAAAGTATCTGCGTGTGAGTCCAGTGGTACTGAATGGCTCAAGAGGGGAGGGTACTGAATGGCTCAAGAGCCCCTCCTCTTGCTGGAGGAGTGGCTGCTGCATTCATAGTCTCAGCTGCTGGTTGAGGGGAGCCGAGCTCGGAGAGGCAGAGGCAAAGCAGGCCCCAGCCAGCCTGGGCCGGCGTGTTCCACAGACACAGCAGCTCCCTGTCACTGCTGTCGGCACAGTCGGTCTTTTCCAGGGGGATGGAGAAGGCCTGCCCGAGCAGTCCCAGGTTACAGGCGCAGAAGTAAGTGCCACCGCGGGATGGGGGCCGTGGGCCAGAGGGCTGTATGTACAGGCTTCGTCAGCATGACTGGGTAGGTGTTCACTCCCCTGACTAAGCCCCCAGCCCGGATGAGGCAAGGCCCACAGAGCGCTTGGGGCGAGGCAGGATGTGGTGCTTACATTGTAGGCTTCCCTGATGAGTTGGACGACGTTGCTGGAATCCTCGTTCAGCACCCCCACTGCTGATTTGGGGATCATGTCGCTGAGCTTCTACCAATGGAAACAGAGGAAAATCAGCCCTAGCCCTGAGGGACTATGAGCCAAAGGCGATGTGCAGAGCCACAAGCATTCTGCCTCAGTTTCCCTCCTGCTCATCCACTAAGCCAGCCACCCCCCGTCTAGGCCGAGCTGGCTTAGCCCTGTGGCTAGGTCACACCGGCATTTCATCCCATCCAGAGACCCAGCGCTGCTCACTGCTCTCCTGGCTCCTCCCAGCCCAGCCTCTGCAGATACTGGCATGGCCCTGGCATCCACCCCAGCCTGCACCGATCACTGTCCCATGCCTGCCTGCCCACCCTCCTCCAGGCAAGCTCGGAGAGGCAGCAGTCTCTGGCCCCTGCTCCGCCTGCCAACTCTTCCACTGCTGAGCTGGGCCCCTGGTTCAGGCGAGGCAGGGCTGGGCTGACGGGCCCCAAGCAGCCCCTGTCCTGTTCCCGATTGGCATGGGGTAGGTACAGCCCTTGGGAACGCAGCTGGAAGCATGAGCTGAGCTAATGGGCCTGAGGAGAGACTGGCCCAGCCTTGTCTCTCAGCAGCGCTAGGCAGCTGGGCGCTGTCTCTGGGCCCGCGTGCGTCCCACTTACTCGGTATGTCTCAACCATTCTGCTAGTGACAGCAAAGATGGGCTGGATGTTGTTTTCCGCAAGCTTCTGTACCAGCTGGCCGACGGACGGGTAGTCCTGTGGGAGAGAGGGACCGCGACACTTCTTTGCAGAGCCACGCTCAGTACCAGCCTAGCCATGGAGTGGGAGAGCCTGGGACCTCTCGCAGCCAGCAGCCAGCTGGCTCTTCCTTGCTCCAGGAGCTCCTAGCCACAGACTTTAAACACCCCCCCACCGACGTCCCCAGACATGAATGAGAGAAACGGGCGCGGCCCCCAGAACTGGGGTTTCAGATTCTCCGGTTCGCTCGCCTGCCAGAGTGGCTGTGTTAAGCATGACGGGGTGGCTGCTTGGGGAAAGGCCTGCCCATGTCCAGGACACGCCCCCCGTTCACAGCATCCTTCCAGCAGCATAAACCCATCTTGGAACCCAGCCCTACCCCCGCACTCCTGGTGCTCCAGGGAGCTTGTTTCCCAGGGGCCCTGGCCACAGGTAAGTGCCCGCCAGCCACACTGCTGATTTCATTGCCAATGTGACATGCAGTTCACGGGGGGTGGGAGGGGCAGGAGCCCTGTGTCCGGCTGCTGAAGAGCCCCTGACGCTGGGACGTACCGGGGGAGCGGCCAGGCATGGGGAGAAGTTGTTCAGCGAGACCGCCAGGCGGCTGCTCACCAGGGAAGATGGCAAGTGAGAGCTAACGTGCTGCTGTGGGCACTTACAAAGTCATTGCTCTTTTTGTACATGTTCTCCTCCAGGTGGCATTCCCCGTCGCTGGGGGTCAGGATGGCTCCGAGTTTACCGTCCCCAGCAAAATGGAACCCGTCATCAGTGGCATAGACCAGCAGGCGAGTGACGTTGCCCCAGCCGATCCTGTCCTGGAAGCAGAAAGGAGGGGACTTGACTAACTTGGTTAGGCCTGCAGCCACTGCCTAAGTGAGGGAGCCAAGGGTCAGAGAGAACCGAGGACCGCCCAGAAATGGGAGTGTCACACCCCATGTACAGGCCACGACGCGATGGGACACGGCACGCAGCCTCCCCGGACAGAGACCACGACGCGACGGGACACGGCACGCAACCTCCCCGGACAGAGCAGGGGAGTAAGAGCAGTGGAAGGAAATATGCATCTGGGCAGCCCCCACACAGTTGGGCGATGGGCAGGCACCGCCGTGGACACGCATGAGCCCGCACGCCCCAGCACACTGCGACCAGTGCAGGGAAAGGGACCTGGACTGGCCTAACAGAAACAAGGGAGATGGACCCACAGGGGTGACAGAGAGATTCCCAGGCCAGGGCAGGCCCAGACCCCACCTGCATTCCTAGAGGGGAGGGCAGCCCTGGGCCTGCACAAGCTGGCCCCCTTCCCCAGCCACCTGCCCAAGAGCCACAGCGAGGGCAGGACCCGTGGCCAGGCAGCCCAGGTGCAGGGGTATGCATCTCCCAGGAGAGGTGTTCCCAGGACCTGGAGGCACCCAGCTGGGGGGGAGCCTGGGGCAGGCACACGGGGCCCCACACTGCTCGGGGGCTCCTCTCGTCTGGGCCCAGGTGTGGCTGCAGCACAGGGCACCACGCAGGCTCTGAAGGGCGGAGAGCTTGGCAGGGTTATGGCAGCTGGTCCCTTGGCACAGATGCCGAGGCCAGCGGGACCGTGGGGATCACCAGGCTGGCCCCTCCGTAACCCAGGCCAGCCCCACAACAAGCCCAAGAGCAGACCCTATGGACAGGCAGCCTGGAGCTGGAAACTGGGAGGGACTCCGCCCCCCTAGGCCCAGGCTGCGCGTGGCCTGGGGCCGCGAGACCTCTGTGACCAAACGTCTGTCCTGCCACTTAAGGCTCCCTGGTCTCCTCTGCACTGAGAGAGCTGGCCCCATGCTAACCCGCCAGCCCTTCGCGTGGCCCCCCAGCCTTCCGAGCTCACGACTTACCCCACAAACTGCCACCTGCATCATGGCGTCCAGCCCCCCTTCGGGGGCATCGAGGTTCCCGGAGATGGCCTGTTTATTGACCTCCCTCTCGAACAACTTGGCGTCGTTGGTGAGGGACAGGACGTGCCGGAAGGCGAAGGGCGGCTGGCAGGAGGCGGCCTTGTTTGGGCAGGGGTTCTTCAGCTTCTCGGGGTGCGTGTTCACAAAGGGCAGCACCGTCTTGTCCACAAAGGAGCCAAAGCCTGCGGGGGCGGGGACGCAGCCTTAGAGACGCCAGTTGGCCCCTGGAGAATGGACCTACGCCAGTGTCCTGCCCCCACCACGCTGGGACACGAGGGCGGATCAGCGCCTGAGCCAGTGGGGCTCATGGCCGGGGCCCTGACCAGAGCAATGGGTGCCCATGTCCGCTCCGTGCTCCTGGGGAGCAGGGACGCCCCCTGCATCCAGACCCTGCGCCCTGGCCCCATTTCCCTGGCAGGATCCCTGAGAGGGGTGGGGAGGGACCCGCATTTCCTCTGGCTCAAATCCGCTCACGGCCCAGACGTAGCCGCTGCCTCCCCACTTCCTCTGTGGTTCCTGACCCCCACCCCTTTCCTCCCCTCGGCCTGCCATGGGCCCCTCTGCCCTCCTCTCTCTCTCTGATGGACCCTGCCCCCCCAGCCCTGCAGCCATTAAGCCAGGTCCCCAGTCAGCCTGTTTCCTTTGCAGCCAGAAACTCCAGGCTGGCTGGCAGGGAGAGCCGAGGGGTCTGCGAGCTTTGTCCTGTGGCCCTGGCGGCAGGGAGAGCAGAACCAAACCCGGGTAGGGGCAGCGCCAGGATGGAGCCCATTTGGAGCCAACACTCCTCTTGTCGGCAGCTCTGGGCCTTGCCTCTCAGCGGGCGAGTGCAGAGCTCTCCATGGAGCAACTGGGCAGATCCAAGGGTCAGCCCAGTGCGCATTGTCCCTGTGCGGTTACTGGATACCTCGTCCCCCAGCCTTGACACCTCTCCTGCCTGGCCATCACAGGCTTGGCTCGCGCTCACGCTCGCTGCCGGGCAGGGCCCTCTCCAGCCTGTTTGGGGGTCCTGTCCTGTGCTGCTGCTGCTGCAATGGGAGGTAGCGAGTGTGCCTGCGAAGCGGCCGAGAGCCTGTTCCCCGTGAGCTGAGACCCACTCACCGATCTGGCCGGAGCTGGTGATGCTGTTCAGAACCGAGAGCAGGTCCCCCCCCAGCTTCTTCACTTTCTCCAGGTCGTCGTGCATGGAGTAGGAGAGGTCCATCAGATAGTAGAGGTCGATCGGGTAGCCCTCGGCACGGCGAAAGGTCACATTGAACACAGCCGGCTGACCTGCCAGGGGAAAGGCAGGGCATGCACACGGCGCGGCGGGCAGAGCTCCGGTGCCCACCGCTCAGGAAGGACGTCGTGGAGGGTTCAGAGAAGGGCCATGAGAACCGCTAAAGGAAGAGGAACCTGTCTGAGAGCCACAGACTCAAAGAGAAAACCAAGGTCAGGGAGTGACTTGATCAGCATCTACTCAGGGAACCTTCTCCAGCCCTGAGCAACACGGCCTGACGCCGACTGCAGCAGCAAAGAGAACGCCCCACGCCCTCTGTTCTATTACTTTGGCCGCCCTGGGTTCCCTGCCTGGGAGCTCAGCCTTGCAAGATAAGTGCAAGTTCACACACGAGCCCAACAGCCTACACACTGACCAGCAAAGGGGCAGCCAGACTGACTGCAGGAATCCAGGCAAAAGGGCTCAAGGACTGAGTTAGGATCCAGCGGGGTGGGACCTAAAATCAGCTGGGGCTGTACTCACGAGTTAATTGATTAGTATTAGTATTATTGTTTTTATTATTAAGACATTTAGAACTGATCCAAACTTAAATTATACATTCCATGGGAAAAAAACTCCCATTCCAAACAGGAATTTCAAAATCTCCTGCACAAAAATTGTGTTTAAAAAAGGGGGAGGTGGGTCAAAAATGTTCATCTTGACTTGAAATGTATTTCAGATTCGTTTGCATTCTACTATAGTATCTTATCCGGAGGATTTAAAATGACTGTCCACATTTCAAGAGTTGTTGGCATGGTCATTGGAGCGGCATAAGAATGTACCTTTCTAAATGGAAACTCAGTTTGAGATGAGAAACTGAACTCTTCTGTTGTGTGGTGAAACTTCCATTGCTGGTAGCATGTTCCCAGCTTTATGACACTGAAAAGCTGCTCCCAGCCCAGCAGTCCAAACGCTTCAGTCCAGCATTTGCAAGCCTGAGCCATTCCGCCTCAGGGGCCATTTTTGTAGGTTTTATTTGAACTGAACAATTTTTAAAATTGACATGAATTTAGATAACCTGGATCTCCCTCCCAGCCCCTACCCCTACCCCCCGGGCCTGATCCCCCCCATCTCACACCCAAACTCCTGCCCAGACCCTGCACTCCACCACAGCGCTTGTGCTGAGCCCTCTCCCACACTCCAGCTCCCTTACTCACAGCGCGGAGCCCCCTCCTGTACCCCAAATGCCTCATTCCCAGCCCCACTCCCAGTGGGAGTCTGTACCCCCTCCCACAATGCACCCACCCTCCTGCCTCAACTGGCAGCCCCCTCCCACACCACCGATCTCCTCATTTGTGGGGGCCTAGGGGTCCCCACAAAACCCAGGAGCTCTGGCCCTGGGGTGGGCTCTGAGCCGCACCTTTGCTAAGCTTGTCCACGGGTCATCTGCTTGTTCGGGAGACACAAACATTCCCCCTCCCTTCGCGCTTGCCTTCTGCTCCCCACACGTGGCAAGAGCCGGGGGCAGGCATCGGTCCTGAGGGGTAGCTGCCTCAAGTCTGCACGTGAGTCACTGGCCAAGGACCTGCACTTTTCTGCACGCACCTGGCGGTGGAGCCTGCACCCAGAGTGGGGAAATCCGGGCTAGGCCTGGCCTGGTGTGAGGCGCTTGCTGCATCCCCCTCAGCTCCAGTTTCTACCCTGGCCCCCACGGGCTCGTCTCAGCTGGCTCAGAGCTGTTTCTCAAGCGCCTGCTGCCCCAGCACCCACTGAGATGTAAGCGCGCGGCAGGAAGAGGGACCCGGGCACGTTCTGTGCCAGACTGGGCCCAGGCTGGGGCTGCCTGTGCTTTCCCCCACGCGGCATCGCTGCCGCCCTGTGGCCAGGCAGGGCTTCTCACTGCCAGCCCGGTTCCCAGCAGAGCCTACCTGGCCGGAGCTTCAGCTGCACTGCCTGAGGCCTGAGCTGGGTCTTGCTGTCCAGACTGTCTTTCTGGGAGGCGATGGAATTGCTCTCTGGGAACACGATGTCTTGGGTGTCACATCCCCTCTGCTGCAGCTGCTCTCTGGTGTCACAGCGAATGGAGTCTGGCTCGCCCGCCTTGGTGAAATTCTGGCCAGTACAGAACCAGAGGGGCATGGGCGGGACACCCCTCAGCTGGGCACCCTCCTCCCCTCCCATTGGGCCCTCGCTCAGCCACGGGCAGGGGCGGGACACCCCTCAGCTGGGCACCCTCCTCCCCTCCCATTGGGCCCTCGCTCAGCCACGGGCAGGGGTGGGACACCCCTCAGCTGCGCACCCTCCCAGGAGAGACACCTCCTCACATTCTGCATTCACCCTTCATCTCCCCATTGCTGGGCCACCCGGGACTGGCCACTGCCAGCGAACTGGGCTCTGGCCTAGACAGATTTGTGGTCGGGCCCGTATGCTGCTCCTGTGTTGGCCCTGTGCCAGGCAGGGTCTCCCCAGCAGTTTCCTGCAGAAGCCCAGCCCTGGCACGGGGCAGGGAGCTAGCCTAAGAGGGGGAGGCCTCCGCCGGAGCCCCCCGGGCCAGGCAACATGCCCAGAGGGTTGGGACGCTGCAGACGCCCACTCGCCCATCCTGGGACTGGGGCTCTCCCCAAGGGAGCACTGGGCAGTCTGTGGCTGTGCAGAGAATGATGGGGCAGCAGAGCCATGGCCGAGGCAAGGGGACCAGCTGGGGACAGCAGATCTCCCTGGGGACCAGGCCTCCGCCGGAGCCCCCCGGGCCAGGCAACATGCCCAGAGGGTTGGGACGCTGCAGACGCCCACTCGCCCATCCTGGGACTGGGGCTCTCCCCAAGGGAGCACTGGGCAGTCTGTGGCTGTGCAGAGAATGATGGGGCAGCAGAGCCATGGCCGAGGCAAGGGGACCAGCTGGGGACAGCAGATCTCCCTGGGGACCCCTGGACCCAGGCTCCTTGGCCGGGCGCGGGGCTGGGGTGACTGGGCACCCACACCGAATCGGAGAGCGGGGGGCCAGGGCTGGAAACGCAGACCTACCAGTTTCTTGCACCACGCGCAGCCGGGGCCAGACTGGATGCAGTCCTGACAGGTGCTCACTTTGATCTTGGGGCACTCCAGGGCTTGGGCTGCAAGAGAGAGGGGTTGAGGCAGAGACGTGATGGAGCTCGGTGGGCCCACGAAGGAAAAGCCCCACCTGCAGGGATGATACCCCCTCCCTGGTGCTGCCAGCCCTGGTGGCTCCCTGGACTCTGTTGAGCCACTTTTCTCCCTTTTTAAATACTTTTAACATGGACTAAGCAAAAACTTACAGAGAGAAGGGCAGTGGCTGCAAGAGAATTGCTGAGCATGCTCAGTGCTCAGGAAGTCTCACAATCTCTCAAGTAGGAGCTTTCTACATTACACCGGCTCTTGGCTTTTGAAAACAAGGTCACCTCCCTACGGTCTCTCAGGCGTTCCTCCTCGCGGGGGGCGGGTCCACCCACTTTCCACCCCAGGTCCCATCTCAGCATCCCCGCCCAGCGGGAGGGCAGCAAGCCAGCGCGGAGTGAGCGTGCTGGGTGGGACTGGCCGGGGTCAGGACGTGGGAGCAGAGCAGCTGGCTTGTTTCTGGTTAATAGAGGAACCGCCCCTCCCGGGCCAGTCTCCACCAGAGTGAAGGGCAGGAAATGTCAATGGGGCAGTTGAGCAATAACTCCCACAGGAGAAGGGTTTCTCAAGCCCCAGCTGTCACAAGCAGGAGGGTGCATCGCCCTGCCCAAGGCTGGGGCTTTCCGCCGGCCTGTCACTGCTCCCCAGTCCATTCTAAATCATGCCTCCATGCTGGTTTGTCACCTCCCAGCTACCGGTGCCCTGGGCACAACCCCACTTCCTCTGCCTGGGCACTTTGCCACCTGAATGGTCCCGGGATCTTGTATCATGAAACAGGGCGAATGCAAGTTCCTGAGCCCCCTGTTGCATCCCAGCCCGGGCCTTCTCTGCTACGCTCATGTCCCTTCCTCGCCACCTCCTCTCCCACGGCGACTGTCTTCACCAGCGCGTCTTCCTACGACTCGCATCTCGACACCCGCCTCCGGCTCGCCCATTCCCAGGCCTGAGCGCCCAGCGCCTGCGGAGGCCCCTTCGCTGGTCTGTGCAATGGCACGACACTGAATGCTGCCTTCCACCCCGTTCCTGGCCACGCACCCTGGGCGGGGCCCGTGCCCATGCATGGCCCAGCTGGCAGGTCATTGCGAAGAGGAGCCAGCTCGGCTGCAGTGCCAGTCACACACTGGTGCAACACGCTCCCAAGGAGACGCTGGGTAATAACCACGAGAGTCAGAGGGGAGCCGTTAGTCAGACTTTGCATAAACAATGAGGAGTCCCGTGGCACCTTCTCTAGACAAACAGACTTCCTGGAGCAGCAGCTTTTGTGGCCAAAGACCCACTTCGCCAAATGCACCAGGTGCTGCAGGACTTCTCGCTGTTGGGGCAATTCCATGTTTCGAAGGAGTTTTCATTGGTGCTGTATCCTGCCCCCTTTGCTCCCCGGCTCAGGGGTGAGCAGCGGGAGGGGGAGCCCCCTAGCCAGAGGGGACGGGACCCAAGGGGCAGCGGAGGAGCAGTTACTGGGCTCTCCTGGTGGTGTGCAGGGTGACCCACGCTGTTCGCAGGAGCCGCCGGGCACTTCCCTGCTATTAGCGCCCTGGGGCTTGAGCCCTTCTGTACAGGGAGCACTGGGGGAGTTGCCTTGCCCCTCGCTGGCAGGACCACGGTGGATTGGGAGCGCCCAGCACAGGGCAGGCTGCAAGCCGCTGAGCCTAGCGCCACAGGGACCAAACGCTGCCCCTGGGGGCTTCTCTTTCCTGCGCCTTTGTTTTGCTCGGTGCCTAGCGTGCTCCGGGGTCCTGCGCCTGCTGGACTAGCAGCAGCGGAGACAGACACTTGGGTCTGGCCCACAAAAGCTCATCACCTAACACCATCTTGTTAGTCTTTAAAGTGCTACATCGTCCTGTTTTTTGTTTCACTTGCTCACCTGTCGTCGCCAGCAGCAGCCCAGCCACAGCCAGCAGGAGGCAGTAGGGACCAGTCATCGCCTGCAAGACAGAGCGTCAGGGTTACATTTCAGGGCTCAGCGACCAGGAGGCACCCTGTGGCTGAGCGAGCCCCCCGCCCTTGCTCCCACTGACTTGCAGGAAGCAGACAAGCCAAACTCAGGGGGAGAGCTCTGGGAACAGGTCTGTCATCTCACTGAGACCCAGTGTGGGCTGGGTCCCTGCCAGCCCCTCCCAGCCCCACGGCTGAGCAGCATCTGTAGGACATTCACACACGTCACCAAGGGCCAGTGCGGGGCAGACGCCCCAGGGGAGTCAGGAGCACAAGTGCCCCTCCCACCGTCAGCGAGCCCTGTGCTCTGATCTCCATCGGTATCTCTGGCCGCCCTGGCCCCTGAGCACGGCTGGAGCAGGGGCAGGGCAGAGAGGGGCAGAGGCACAAAGAGGGAGGGGAAGGGATGGCCAGAGGCAGAGATGGGCTGGCCGGTCTCCTGCGTGCTGTGCATGGGAGCCAGTCCTGACCAGCCGCACACAGGGACGCGACGCACCCGGCCGGACGGCGCTGGGCACCTGCAGCCACCTGGGGACAGAACGGCTCAGCACCCGGAGACAAGGCCAAGCGCCTGCCGCAGGAGGGGAACGTCACAGGCAGAGCCTGGGCCACGGTCGGCAGCCATCGGGGTACCATCTGGGCACTGCTGGGAGCAGCAGGGTTCACATCCCCGTGTGGTGCTCACACCTGGCACCTGCAGGGAGGGGCCACATGCCGAGGGGGAAGATTCAA